AAAAACATCTAAAATTAGCATTTGTGTACCGTCAAAGCGGTGTAACTTACGACGTACGTCACTTTGGTTGTCAACGTATCCGCCGATTAACTCACAAACTGAATTTTGCTGCCATCTGTTGACCCTCGTTTTAACTTCTGACTTGCACCGCTTTGCCATTAAACAGAACCTATTGTCTAGATTTCAGATATGGACTTAGTTCACTTTAAACAAAAAATTGACTTACACCACTTTGCTTCTCATCGGCTCACATATCTCTTTCTCTATTACCTCCTTGGATTTGAGGTCAATTCCTCACCATTTACCATATCCCTCAAGCTGATGACTCGCCATACATTGAAGTTCTGGCGAAGTTATACACCACAAGGCCACATAATTACCTATAATCACCATATTTTTGTAATGTACTTTTGTTTCTATCTTCAACTAATAACATTTTTTATTTTTATGCCTTCTATTGTTTTTTGGTCACACAATTTTTATAATTAAATTACATAAGGTCTTTTTTTATTTATAATTAAGTTTTAATTTTTCCCTAAAGAATTTTTTTATAGAAGTTAAGCGCTTTAATTGCTATGCTAACGTTCAAATTAGATCAGTATTTAAAAATAATATTTTCTGTTTGAGAAGATGAAACGAATGTTTTTTCGGGTTGGTTTAAGGTAAATATAAAAGAATTTTCAATTTAATTAAAAATATAGGCAAAAATTATATATTTTTTGCGATCATTTAAGCTAACATTATAGGTACTGTAAACTCGAATTAATGTGTAATTAAAAGAGATATGAATAGATTTTTTTACCATGGAAAAATCGCTTAATTGCTATATGAAAACATATTAAAGCAGTATTTAAAAAGCATTCGTTTTCACTTAAACCGAAACATTTTTTGATAAAGGGAATTAAAAAATGTGACCGTATTTTCCGTGTACAATTAAAGTGCCTTTTTTATGAAACTTTTCAACGTCCATTTTAGCATTCAATTATTATTTTTGTATGTTAAGCGCGGACATATTTATCGCATGAACTGAATAAGGGTTTATTATTTTTGATAAATAAGTTATAATTATTAGCGATGGGAACTATCGAATGAATTAGACTATCGAATGGTTACTGAATGAATGATTTCAACTATCGAATGGTTTTATGCGAATAAAATCATTCATTCATTTGTATACTAAAGCATATGTGACAACCTCGCCGTGCGACTAAATGGTTATCGTTGCGCCACGAGCCACGACTATCGAATGCTTTTGATAAATGAAATTTAGTATTCGTTTGATTTTTGTGTACGTCAGTGCATTATTAGTTCTTCCAAATTTTTATAACTTCGCCTTGTAAATACTATGCTATTTTTGCGTTTATTAAAATATTTAAAATACTAAAATAGTAGTTTTTTTTTAATTGGCGATTGTGTGCGAAGTGGTCAAAATTTTTCCGAAAATTTGTGTGATTTTCCGTTGCCCGATCTTTCAATTATTTAATTTTATATGGTATATTGTGGTTAGGTTTGATTGCATTTTTTTAATGTGACATTTTGAGAAGTAGCAATTTTTAAGAGAGATGAGATGAACTTACAATTAATTTTAAAAATACATATTTGTATTTTAGATGTTTTAATGATATGAATTAGTTGAACTTAATAATCATATTTAAGTAATGTGGTTAAGTAAATGTGTGGTTATCGAACTCAAATTTTGGGGTGAGAAAATTAAATTGAAAGTTTTACACGTGCCAATATAAAAAAAAAGTTAACAATGTTTGTATTTTGTTTATGCTAATTCTCTTACATGTAGTTTTTTGCGAAGAAATATTTCATTTATTTTTTAAAGTAAATGCCAGTAAAAGTAAATATTATTTTTAAATAGTAATATAAAGTAATATAAATAATTTTGATTTCTAATTTTTTATTTATATTTTCCTTCCATTACACTGCATGCTTAGAAAATTAATAAATGTTTATATTTCATGATTTTAAAATTTGTTGTTAATATAACAAATTAGTTCTGTAATTATTATTATTTAATAAACCAACGTTGCCATTTAGAGACTATATTATTTTTAAATACGATCTAATATAAATACTTTTGACTTCTATTTGTTGTTTATATTTTGCTACTACTTAAAAAAAAATTTTATAATTAAATGATTTAAAATTTTGTTGTTAATAGGTATAACAAATTATTACTGTTATTATTATTTATTAAACCAGTCTTTGCTTAAAAACATTAAAAATAATTTTCCTACATCCAAAATAAAAAGTATTATTGCAGTGTAACAACAGAGTATTAATAAAAAAATGCAAAACATTAGACATACTATCCCTAACTAACTAATGCTAAAGAATAAAATTCTTTGCTAATATCAACTAACACCAATATATGGCAACAGCGCCCTTCATAATGTATTTTCTGTGTAAATACTAGCACCTCAATAAAAAAAATAATGTGTCCTTATCTTTACTCTGACTCCGCAAAAAATCAAAGATGCCGGCTTCTTTCATAGCATTGCCGCCGACCGCTGTCGGGTTTCTAGGAAAGATACCTATGTCGGCAACAACTAAAATCTAGTTTATATTTTATTATAATCGATCCTGACGAATAAATGAATTTTATAAATGAATGAATTTTATAAATGAATGGTTTTTGCTGCCGAATTACTAGAATACAATATTTCAAGGCAGATGACGCATCTATTCGATAATTTTTATTCGAATAGTTTTCGACGAATGTTTTCTTACTAGCTATCGAATTATTCGAATGAATTGCAACTATCGAATGTTTCGATAGTATTCATTCGATAGTTCCCACTACTAATAATTATGTGTTCGACAATAACCGATTTTTAATTGAATCCTTTGTAGAGAAAATACGCACGAATAAATTTGCTCGAAATAAACTACCATTTATGTTATATTAATTATTAATAATCATTTTCATCGAGGCAAATGTGTGAATATTACGATAAATACTAATCAATTTTTTTTTATATATTTCATCGGGAATGAAATTATCATTGCGTAGGTTTTAGTAATGGATACTCCATAATTTTAAATCATTTGCTTATTATACAGGGTGGTCTGAACTGTATTCCGGAATCTTCGGCAGCATATTCTGCAGATAAAAATACGTTAAAAAGTTCGTATAAATGTATGGTCTAAAATGTTTATTTTCGGAGATACAGGGTATAGAAGTTTCATTTTTATTACAATTTTTCCAAATAATTTCTAAATTAACCTCAATATCTGAATGTAAAGTGGTGTCTGGGATTTTTTTGACATGAGAAATTTGATTTTGATGTCAATACGACTCCTACTTGTAGAGGGCCCCACCTACATATTTTTTAACTGGTTTGAAGCGTAATAACTTTTCGTCCGTACCTGTATAAAACTACTGAGTAAAAAAATATACATTTGCGACATTTTTTACGTAAAAAAAGGGTCTCTTGGTAAAAATCGCTACGAGTAATGGGTCTCGAGATATTTGGAACCGAAATTATCAATACCTGTCATTATTGACATAAATTAAACATGTTGACTAAATAGTTCTCAGAATGAAATCATAAGTTTGAAATGTTTTTGTGCCAAAAGTTCGACAGAAACTGTTTTAATATCATTTCTTCGCAGAAAAATTTATATAAAAAAATAAAAATTTCCCGTAACGATTTTTACCAAGAGACATTTTTTAGGTAAAGAATCACGAAAATGTATATTTTTTCACTCAGTACTTTTACACAGGTACGGACCAAAAGTTATTACTCTTCAAAACAGTTAAAACACATGTAGGTGGCGCCCCCTACAATAGGAGTCATATTGACATCAAAGTTCTCATGTCAAAAAAACCAATTTTCATCGAAATATTGACGTTACTTCAGAAATTAATTGAAAAAATCGAAATAAAAATGAAAATTCTACACCCTGTATCTCCGAAACTAAGCATTGTAGAACGTATATTTATGCGAACTTTTTTACTTATTTTTATCTGCAGAATATGCTGCAGGACTTTCCGGAATACAGTTCGGACCACCCTGTATATTATGAAGGATACTGTTTTTTGCTGTTATTGGAAAAAAAGTAAAAGAACTTTTAGTAAATAAATAATGCTCTGTTGCTTAATATCCCTTATTAAATTTATTAAACTAACCCAATTCCTTAATTATACTAGATAATAATTAATAAGTCTTTTACTTTCCTATGTTATTCTCAAAAACGTTATTATCGTTTCCTTCTCTATTCAAATTTTAATTTATATTTTACGGTTGAAAATTTTTTTCTTATTCGGGCTTAAATCCATTTAGGCTTTCTAGAATGACCTACTTAAAATATTTTTTAAGGGATTTTCGTTCCTGTATTATATCCGATAAAGGTACTATAATTGAAAAATGTCGGCTTTCTCAAAACCCTCGAGAAATAAAAAAATTGTCTTAATATTTCGCCCGAAGAATGCTTAAAACCCGCGCGTCTTTTACGGGCTAATATCAAATTATTTACTTTTCAATTTTGCAATTCGTGACAGAGATCGAAATGAAACGCTTAGCAAATTTCTTGAGAATACATCAAGTGACGTAAAGTGGTCTTATTACATTATTAAACCGTCGATTTTAGGTTAACGAAGAAGAGGTTTCGGTTATTGAATATACAAATTTAATTAACCTCATTTTTACCTTTCCAATTTTAATTTCTTCGGTTTATCATGATCATTTTCAGATTATTCAACTATTCCCAATTATGGTGTAGCACCCTCACATATTTAGATACTCTCTTCGTAGTTGGGTCCATTATTGTCTATTGTTGGCTATTTCATTCCTAGTTAACCATTAGGAGGTTGCCATGTCCATTTTTAATTTGAGTTCTTCTTAAAGTATGTATTGTCTATGAACAGATTCTGATGATATGCGTATTGTATTTCGGTTTGTTTTAGTAATTATTTAACTCTATTCAAAATAAATGAAATATTTTGTTCTAGAGAGCCTAATTTGTTACATTTATGTTATTATTTGCAGTAGGCGGTTACCAGTTGCTTTTGGAAAGATAGCGTATGGTCCGACAAGGACTAAAATTAATCCCGAGCACTTGATGCCGTACCTTCAATACGGAACACAGCTGTCGCAGCCTAGAAGAAGGCCTGCCACATCTTTTAGATTATCCGGCGGAGGCTACATGATCGCTGGGTATCCCCCACAAACAGGCTCCTTTAACCACTTGAAGGTAAGTTGTTACCAACTGATTTTATAATTCCTATAACACTATAAATAGAGTTAAAAGTGCCATAATATATCGAAAACGTGACAGTTTTGTTAAACGAAAGACTCTAAAATAGCTTGTTAACAATGTATATTAACTCACTTTTAAGGAAAAAAAACTATACTATAAAATATAACGTACGATGTAGTTAAGTTACTCTTGATGGTCTATATAGGTTATTTTTAATCGCTTCAATGAAACAACAACACAAGTTTGATTAACCACTAACTTTGGCGACCCTAATATCGGCTAGTTCAAAAGATTTTATCAGTAGTTGTCAAACATGATTTACACGTGTATCTGGGACATGCGAGATGAGGTTATATGCGATCTGGGTCAAATTTGTAATGTCATTGATCTTCTTACAAGCAAATATATCTAACAGGACAAGTAGAATATCCCCAGCAAAAATCGAAAATATTCTAATATATTATATTCTGTACAAAATCGGTTTTTGTTGTTAAGTTATTAAAAATAATAATAAGTTGGTTTAACTAAAATTTAAAAAAATAGAAGGTGCAAATCATAATTTTAAAAATTATTTTTTTATAGAATATACAGGGTGTTCCGATATTCCGTGGACATAGAACTTCTAAGTATATTTTGAATCAAAATAAATTTATTGAACATATGTAATTTACTGTATATTTCAACTCATTTTTATTGTATATTTCAAAAGTTATATTTCGTTTAATTTGAGTTATACAAAAGTTCTAAGTTCTAAATAATAAGTTGGTTTAACTAAGATTTTAAAAAATACAAGGTGAGCATCATAATTTCAAAAATTATGTTTTTATCGAATATATATTTTCAAAGTTATATTTAGTTTAATTTGAGTTATACAAAAGTTCTGGTTTTAAATAGGACCACGTTTACTATGTAATTCCCACTTTATTTGAGCAAAGTTCAGTCCAAAATTAACGAAGCAGCGGCTGAATTGCGTGACATACATATTTTCATTTAAAATACTCTCAGTAGTTCATTATTAATTATGCCAAATTGCCTTCCAATAATCTGTCAATACTGCCTGAAATAACTTCTAACTATTTAGCATGCTGATTAGTTCCGACAATGCGCTTGTCGACGGTAATCAACCGCGAATCATACTTAGCGGCTTAAAATACAATTAAACAAACAAATTTGCTAATTAAATGTGAAAATCGCCTAATTGGCAAAGAACCTATGCTGTCTCTTAACTTTGAAAACTAATGAGAACTATAATTTGAGTTATTTTATGTTTATTTATTACATTATTCGATATTCTCTTTTTCTTTTCAGGAACTGATCAAGACAGAGAGAGCTAGAGAATTACAGCAACAAAGAATGGCTGAAGAATCAGCTGCACGGGCAGCGGCTTTGAAAGAAATGGGAAGGAATCAACCTGGGTAAGCCGAAGAATAAATTTCCTTTGATATATATCCCTCTTATTCATCAATATCAATTCCTCCCACGCGCTAAAGGGTAGTAAATAGGTTCTTGGTCTATTTTCCAGTTGAAAACAAATACTGAGTGTAAATTGGGCTGAAAAACGAGAACTCTGATGAACTCTGAACAATCGAAAAACAATGGAACACGATATGGTACGGCACGTCACTGTAATTCGTGGTTTTATTATAACATTTTAATTTTCGATTAAATACTTGTAGATTGAATTTTATAAAAAAATAAGATAAAAACAATTAAACTAAACTAAGCTTAATCCAAAACATCTATGTCTCACGTTTTGGATGCTGGATGTCGCTACTTTTGTAAAAAGAAATACCTGTGCAACAATTTTCAAATAATAAAACTTATGGTACTAAATTGATACTATTCATGGTAATTAACTTAGTTTGGGGATAGCCTTGTTCATTAGTCAAAACATTAACCGAGAAATTAAATAAAAAAAAAACGATAATTCGTGTAATAATATCTCCGATAAATAAAAATAGCCTTTAATTATTAGGTACATACCACCTTCTTTCATTAGTTCGAGAGTGATAGTTACTTTAATTCTGTTTGGTTCTTTGAATAAGAAGACTAAGGAAGGAGCATAATGCTATCCATGTATTCATGCATGGTGGGCGAAAAAAGCACTCTAGGGTGGGGATCCTTGACAGTTCTGTTTGACGATTCATTTGACACATTTGAATTTGATTTGAAATTTTGTGGATTTGTCAGTCTTTACGGAGCTTATTTTATGTTATTTATTATTTATTCTACTACTGATAGTTGTATAAAGGTAGTAAATCTAGATGGAAATTGTGGCAGAACTTAAATTAACAGTGACACTATCGCGATTTATCGAAAAAGACTCCAAAATAGTTGGTTGTGTAGCGTGCGGTAGATAAAAAATAATGGAAGTGAAATAATGGAACAACTTTTCGCTAGTAAGTGACTATATAATATACATACGTGTAGTAAACCGATCATTTATGAAATTCACTTAAATTAACTAAATTATATATTTTTCTTGCATTTTAACTTTTATTTACTACTTGTCAAAGATCAGATGTCAAAGAATTTTGATACGTTAATTGTTGTACGGTAAACGTTGACTTACCTGCTTCAGTAGCGTATCGGATGTTTGTGTTAATAAATACTTATTATAACTTATCTATTTTTATTAGAATTATATATTTTTATAACAATTTTAATAACTACCAACATTTATTCACAACGTAAAATAAAATAACAAATTATTGAGTCTACCCCACGTCTACCCTACATCATAGTTTTACATTTTTTAAATAAAACTAGAACGGCACTGATAAACCGGAATTTAAGTCGGCCATATTTGAGGCCCATCGCGGTGTACCTAAGATTTTTGATATGCTCCTTCCTTAGTCTTCTTATTCAAAGGTTTGGTTTGATTCTTAATATCATGGTCCCATCTCAGGTTTGGTCTTCCTCTAGGTCTCTTAATTCTTCGCGGGTATACTCTTTTTTTTTCTCAGGTAAGATTTCGACAGATGATGACAGAAAAAAAGCAGATGACTTCCATACCAATCCATTTAGTTCACTAAAAAAAGTTTCTAATATTTTTTAAGTTAACTATGGTTGGGTTTATAAATAAATACGTCATGCGTCGTCTCTTGCTGTTTTTAACCAGTTTTATTGGTTTATTTCAAAAACGACAGATCATATTTCAATATTATTGGTTTGACGCAACGATGAACGACAAACGGACGCCTGTGCGTATAAACTCGACTTAAGATTTTTGAGAGTTGTCAAAGTCTTGCCAATTATAGGTTATAATTTTGTGTCAAATTATGTCAAATAGAAATGATAAATATTTTGCATTTTGCATTTTGGACTGTGTTGTTACTTGTGTTTCGTGTTTTTTAAAATTAAGTGGAGGAAAACTCGACGGAATATTAAGTGTTGACCCAGACCATAGTTTACAGTTAATATTCGGTGCATAGAGACCGCCAGAGACACACTTTGCTAGAGACTATGGCCAGAGAGTTGTATTAGCCACAAATAAAGTTGTATACCATCTCGTATATGGTACCAAAAACTGGAGTATCTGTAAAATAACATCACACGATAGGTAAATAATACATTTTAGTACTGCAGAAAAAATTAAGATTAAAGTTAATCACTCAAAATTTAAATATATTAATTATGCGCTCCAATTGTACCAACTTATTTCTTTGTAAAATAAAATAAACTACTTTGAAATTAAAATGACAGACACATCTATCACTGTCAAGGATTTTGTCGTTGGACAGAATACCATGCTGTATTTTTTGTGGGTATTTAAAGAAATAATTGTAGAAAATATTATTTGAAAAATAACTGACTTTTACATACTCGATTATTCATAATTCAGTTTCAGAGGCGCCGAATGAAAAAATGCGAGAAAGAAAAAATAATGAAAACAATCGATGGCATACAGTAAGCTATATATCACTGGGCCCACAAAGCGTACTAATCTTGGGTCAGTCGATATTACCAGCGTAAAAATCGTAATAAATCGCCAGCTGAATGAGCGACTGACATTTCGTTTTCGTTACAATATCGGCCTTTAAAAATATACGAGGTAATTCATCGAAAGGGATCGGACAGTCACGTATTTATTTATCCAACCGAAATATCTTTCGGCACAATAAGCATATTTATTTTTGTGGTTTCCGGTAAACGTTCCATTCAGCAACGTGCCTAAACGCTCAATATTTGTTTATCTCAACATGTCAGGAATTCACGCCTCTATTTATTATGTTTGTTTATTATTTTTCCAGGATTTATAGTAGTGTTTTGATACTTTTTTTTCTTTGGGTTCGTGGTTACTCAAAAATTAACGACAAACTGTCCATTCTAGTTTTATGATTGCAGTATTAAATGGTAGGTAAAGATTTATCTATCGCCAAAAAATTATACAAAAACAAGGATTCAAAAAAATAATTTTCCCACAAAACCAAGATGTCTAAGCCTTTTAAGGTGTATATGTTCCAGGTTTACTATTTTTCTAAGGCCTTTAAAAATGTTTAAAAATTGGGCAAAAACAAGAGCCAAAATTTTTTTTCTCACAAAATCGAGATTCTAAGCAAGCCGTCTAAGGTATATTTATTCTGAATGTACGTAAAATTTACTACAAATTCCGAAATTTTCATAATTTTATGATTATGTTTTAATCTATGTATGTCTAGCGTTTTTTTGATTGAGTTTTTTCATACATATAGTCGTGAAAATTGGCGATTTTCGTCATGTCACCGATTCTGTTAAAATTGTTATTTACTAATTAAAATGTGTAGAATGAGAAATACAGGCCATTGTAGTCCTACGAGAACAGTAATGTACATAGGAGACGTTTTAACCATGATCAAAAATAGCTCAAAACAAGGGCCCAAAAAATTAATTTTCTTACAAAACCAAGACAACTAAGCCTTCAAAGGTGTACATATTCTAAATCTACATAAAATTTGCTACAAATGCTGGAATTTTCATAATTTTATGATAACGTTTACTATATTTCTAAGGTCTTAAAAAATGTGTTAAAAACAGAGGTTTAAAACATAAAAAAGGGGTCAAAACTGAACAATTTTTCGACTTTTTTCCATACAAAATTCATAAAAATTGGCAATATCTATTTTACAATGTAGTTATAAAATATAACTAGTTATAATACTGATCTAAGTTAACTAAAGAAAGGCCAAATAGGTTTGAAATAATATATCGAGACTTTGATTAAGACTTGGATTTTAAACAATATTTAATTCATATGTCAGCACTGTTACAAACATGTATATCCCACGTAAGAATGTATTTTTGAAAAGGAATAAAATAAAAAACAAATACAAAAATATCATCCTGACGTGAACTGGAGAATTTCTGCGAAATTCTCCCCGTTATGTAACTGACATATGTTTAACAAAAAAACGTAGTAAAATGTTCGTTCGTTCATAACATTTCATTCTATTTCTGTTTTGCTGTATATAAAAAAATGTAAATTAAAAAACACTGATCGTTCTTAATAACTAAAAAAGTTTATATATTCAGCAATATTGTAGTTTCGAATGACACTATTCTTCGTCAAAGGCAATTATATTGGTACGAAAACAAGAAAAAAAGAAGCAATTTGCAACGATTTATTTTCCCGAAGCTGAAAATTGCCAGGGCTTGGTCGCTCTTCTTCCGATTTTGCGAAACATTTATCGTTTTGTATAATTCAATCCGACGTCCACAGCAACAAGTAAAAGATCTCTTTAGTCCGCTTGTCGAAAATATAAAAAGGTCATTCCCGTTTTTTTCTCTCCCCCAATTTTGAGCATTTTTTAATGCTTTCGGTTCTTTTCAAGGGAAGAAATATATTTGATAATATTTAAAACCTGGAAAACATGGGGGTTGACAAATATATTTCTATCTTCTTTTTCTATACCTTTCAATTTTTTTTCATATTTCAAATTTTCAAAGGCATTAGAAATATAGTAATCATAGGGATAAAATTATGAAAATCTCAGCATTTGTAGGAAATTTTATGTAGATTCAAAATATATACATCTTCAAATTCTTAAATACCTTGGTTTTGTGAAATAATTAATTTGTTGAATCCTTGTTTTTAAGTTATTCTCGATGATAGTTAAAACGTCTACTGCATCTAGTACTGTTCTCGTAAAGCTATAATGGCCTATTTTTTCTTATTCTACACCTTTCATTTAGTAAACAACAGCAGTTTTATGAAAATCGGTGACTTGACCAAAATCGTCAATTTTCATGACTCGGCCATTTTTGGCTGTTTTTTTAAAGCGCCTAAAATTTAGTAAACATGATCAGAAAATTATAAAAATTTCAGTAATTGTGGGAAATTTTATGTAGACTTAGAATATATAACCCCACAGAGGCTTAAATTCTCTGGTTTTGTGAGAAAATTGACTTTTTGAAGCCTTGTTTTGGGGCAATTTTT